AATGCTTGCGAAATACAAGGTCTTTCATCGACGAGATATTCCTTTTTTCCTCTTTCAGTATATGCAACGATGGCGTGTGCGTCCAGGAAACTGGGAAGCTTACAAGAAACGAATCATTCGTATACAGCTTGGAAATCCACGACCACCCGCTCACAACACAACGAAATGGACGATCAATTGGCAAAGACCACATTCGTCCTGTATAAACTGAACTGTACTGAACCCGCCAGAGCACAAGCGATTGTTAGCGAACAAATCGGGGCTAAGAACGACACTGAATCCCGCAATCCCATTGTATATCCTCTGCCGCAGAGCAAGTGCGGCGAACAAATGACTGGTTTACACATTCTTCAAGACCAAGACTCCACCTTAAGGACTTAAAATACCTGTGTTCTTCTCGGAAAACAATCGGAAGACATTGTTTTCCTTCAGGGATGCCTACACGCACCATGCATTCAAATTACTTGTACATACTTCGCATACATTTGACAATTGGAAGGTTCAGTGATCTTATCTTATGTTGTGTGCAAATGAACTGAGCACCTAATATTTCACAAAGCTATTCCACAATCAGAAAATTATTTCTTCAGTAGCATTCCATGCTAGTGTAAAAGAAATTTGAAACCAACAATGTCTCCTCAACACCAGCACCATACAGTGCTAGTGGCATAAACATGTGTTGTGGGGACGTTCATTGAACGAAACTAATGTTTCGTACAAGCGGAATGTGACACCATAACGGAAAAATCGGAGTTAGTTAAATTGATTAATTTGGTTTAATTGGACCGTAACAGAGGCTATGGAGATTTGTACACTAAACACGAAGCACCTACACAATGACTTACGTGATTTTCGACGGAGGAGAATGAAACACAGAATAAGTCCTATGCANAAGAGTATACACAACACGGCGAGAGTGAGGATTATCGGTAACTGAACATCTCTGGTCACCGGTTTTCGAAGAAGATTCAACTCGTCGGTGGTGGGAATATTGCAATGATCAGATTTACAAAACCGGTTGGTATCAATTTCTTCGGGGTACATGTGCCATAATGCGTCGCTTTTTGTGCAACTATGAACGTCATGAGCACCTAAATACCAAACTTACGATAAATCGTAGAAATTTTGAGGGTCTTTGGGTGCCGCATTTATAAGCATCAAACTGCAAGAAGACTCGTCGCTTATTGTGCAGCAGTGAGGATCCGCGCGACGTTTACTGAAAAAATTGACCGGTTGGAGTTTATTTTCCCAATTTTCGATAATAATATTCATGTAATCAGCCCAGTTCTTTTTTTGCTTCTCGCTCATGGGCTTTTTGCACGGATGACAATTGGAGTGATTAGATCCATGGCAGAAAAGGACCATACACTCCATGGTTCTGTGGGTAAACCAATTAGGAAAACCCTACAGGAGACCACACAGCATAAGGAATTTGAAACAGGCGCTGCTTATTTGGGGCCGTCGGTGACTTGACCGAATGTCATTTCAGTGCAAACGTTCAATTGGTCAAATAAAAATGGTACTCGCCAGTGAGTTTATTTCCTTTCAATCAAGAGATTCAATCACACTACTTTGTAATCACAGGCAGACAAACAGACAAGCAACCGACATGACCTTGAATCCGCGTGTTTTGAAATTTGCCGTGGAAACAGCCAGTCAGTCAGTCAGTTTGCACAAAATAGGAGATGACCACGGCCAATCGAGTGTCCAGAGTTCCTTCATTAGTAGGCCACGTGTTGGTCCCTAATACTGCGAGCGTTCCATATTGTAGTTCTACACGTTTCCTTCTAGTCCCATTTGTCCCCGCCTCTGCAAAGGAGGAGAAAGGAAAGGATACCTTCTCCCTTTGCAATTTAACAACCTACCACTGTTCCGAGACCCTAACCTGTGCTTCTACTTTGGGAAATAAGTTCAACCAGAGCTTATTGAGCTCCTTCGGTACGTATCTCGTGCACGGTTTGAATTTTTAAAGTGCTCCTGTGTGTATATCATTTTCTAGTACTAAGTGGAATATCTAACGATATTCCGCATCAAATTCGTTGCCTTAGTTTTAACTGAGGTAATTGTTTAACGTTGTGACCATTTAAAAGGTCATTCCACAGTCTTGTTTGTCAGGTTTGAGGAGTGAAATCCTTTTTCCTTCTTGACACGGTTTTACTGTTTACTGTCCACGACCCTTTTTGGGTTCTATTTTTATCTTTTATAGTGTGAAAGAAACCTTTTGTGTACATTTGCAATTTATCTGGTAATGGCTAGCTATAAAGTTGCGAATCAGTGTGCATGCATGCTGCTGAGGGTACACAGTGCGATCGTTGTTGACTCTGGTACCATCAGGGGTGTTCAAAGTTATCCAGGAAGGCATATGATCTGTATACCGAGCACAAATCCCTAAAGTGGATTAGTGTTCATTGTATAGCACTAGCCGAAGAATGCTCGCGCATTCTCAAGGGTAAACTAAGACCGTTAGCTGGGGCGAAAGCACCGGGGCCTGCACAGCCTAAAGTGCTTTCTGCTCATGTAGAGGAAAGTGTAAAA